CCTCTCTCTCTCTCTCCCTCCCTCTCCCTCCTATCTCCCCCCAACCCCGTTCCAAGTCTATCAGCCTTTCCCTTTTTTAATCTTTGCTTGAGTTTGAAACGTATTCTGCGAATTAGGAACAATAATGAACCCTGGATGGCACGTTCAAAATAAACCCTCTCTTATACAATTTGGACAGAACCTCGATCGCCCATTCCACACTCCGCGGCGCGGCGATGTATAGTAACAAACATCCTGTAGTTTCTTGTTTTGCTTACTTCTCTTATCTCCACAGCCAAAACGAACAGCTATGACCTCAGCAACCCATACATAACGACCAATGAAGTCGCTCTCAATACAGAAACAATTACCTCAATGATAAGAAAGGTGAGTATCTGTTCATGAGTTCATGTTTCGGCTGACGTTTAAAATCCATTCACTGGACACGAAATAGTCTCCCCCCCCCCAATCCCCCGCGATTTCCCCATGGTTCTTCGTCTAGCATGGGGCTGAGACAAATTATTTTAAAAAAGGTACCAAAATTTGAAAACTGACATTTCAAAATGAATTAATCAATAGATAGATAGATAGATGTACTCTCAAACTAATGTGCTTCGCTTATTTTGAGTGTCGTTATATGAACTGCACAGCAACTCCTGGCGTCGAGCAATCAAATGTGCTTCGCTTTTGAGTGTCGTTATATGAACTGCACAGCAACTCCTGGCGTCGAGCAATATTATGTTTCGGTGTTTTTTTCTCAGAGGAATATTTTTACGCCTCCATCAACACAATTTAGATCATATAGGAGTCTGGCTTCCGACCCTGTCTGTCAGGGCCAAACCCGGGTTGATAGGGACACAATGTCCCAGCAGAAAGACCGAGATGTTAAATAAAAATTCTCCCCACTCGGGAATCGAACTCGGCCCCGGTTTCTTGCTTGGGACAACGTATCGTCTAACCGCTACACCCCGGGCGCTGGAGACCAGTCGTGGTATGTTTAAAACATTGTATACATTGTATTGAGCTGACATATGGATTATGTGATATTGTTTTTTTTTCTCTTCAATACTAATGATTCAAAATTTCACTTGCTGTCATAACTGAAAGTTCCATAGGGAGATAATAAAAGTGGTATTTTGATTTATGATCATTATATTCTATTTTGCTCCACAGGGACAGAATAACATAGTAAGGACCCCCCCCCTCCTTTCCTCCCTCCCTCTCTCTCCCCTCTTTCCTCCCCCCCTCACTCTTTCACTCCCTCTCTCGCCCTCTCCGGGCGAACGACTAATGTTTTGCATGCTCGCTGGTGTAAGTTTTGGTTTGGCTTTCTGACATTTCACGTCCCTCAAGACTCAATAAATAGATCATAATCATTTCGAAGGCTTAGCTCACGTTAGGGTTTTTAGTAGTGGATATTATAATTTTGCTAAACCCACATCTCGATCGACAAAATCTAAGAAGAGAGATGATGAAGATGATATAGTAAGCAAGGAAAAGCTACAAATGAATACGACCTCAAGGACTTGAAGACTGTCACGTGTGGGATGCAATGCAACTCATGAACTGGCGGAGCTATGCACACTCCCCCCCCCC